TTAAATTAAGCCGCGATTATTTTAATCGTTGCTTCATTTCCCTCTTTCGAGCTGGCTAATCTACATGCCTCCGTCGAAGGAGGCATGTAGTCTAGAAACAGCCAAGGAGAAAATAAATAAGAGAAGCAAAGAAAGAAGCAGAGTTGCAGAGAGGTGGAACTTCAAGGAGAAAATACCCCCCAATGTGAGGCTACATCTACATTGCAGCCTTTGTCAGCAGAGACAATGCAAATGAAGCGCTCATTAGCATTTCTTGCGCTCTCATTTGCATAGTCTCTTCTGATCCGTTTTGCAGAAGAGGTTTTTGTGCAAAAAACCGCAGTGTAGATGGGGCAACAAACCCTTTTGCACAAGATCCTGTATGCCTGCTTTTTTGAAGAATAAGGGTTCTTGTGCAAAAGGGTTTGTTGCCCCATCTACCCTGCGGTTTTTTGCACAAAAACCTCTTCTGCAAAACGGATCAGAAGAGACTATGCAAATGAGAGCGCAAGAAATGCTAATGAGTGCTTAATTTGCATTGTCTCTGCCGACAAAGGCTGCAGTGTAGACGTAGCCTGAGAGAAGAAGGAAGAAAAGATTGGAATCAAGGAAATCATTTGGGCAGTAGCATGATAGGAAAGACCAAGTGACAATACAGAGAGGAAACCTGCAGTGAGAAGGGAGAGGAGCAAAGTGTGCCAGCCCCCTCCCTCCCAAAAAACCCATAGGCTCCTGCAGCAGTTCATCAGACACACTGTGCTGATGCCCATGCTCCTGACTTCCAGCACTCCTTCCTATCCCAGGAGAGTCGTAATCCCAATCTGCACAGATCTGCTAGCATCCCTCTGAACTGACCTGCGGCATTTTGATGTTCCAGTCCTGGAACTCCGTATAGCTCTGCCAATTTACCGCACCCACTACTATATCAGTGGATTATTATTCCCTTATCAAGCCAAATCTCCCACCATCCTGACCTGTAGTTTCCCTCGATCTGAGGTTTTGTATTTGCAGAACAAAATCTGTTAATCATGCCAAGGTGTGGGGTAGTCTTGTGACTCCGGACCATAATGCACTGATGAATAGCCATAAAATTTCTCAGACCTGTAACCACTTCTTATTTTGAACTCAAACTATTAAGGTGAAAGGTGGGTGTACTGACCTATGGGGCACATGCCACCCTATCCTGCATCTCCACTGTTCTGTTATACACCCAAGTATATGAAACATAAATGTACAATAGTATTACCCACTGTGGTGCAAATCCCAATGAGTATTCCTTCTTATCAGGGTTCATAGCCTTTGCGGTGTGTGTGCTGGTGAGCTCCATTCTCCTGATCTTCGTGGCTGGGCCCCGCTATGGTCGGAGCAACGTTCTGGTATACGTTTTGGTCTGCTCCGCCATTGGCTCGCTCTCTGTGTCCTGTGTCAAGGGCTTGGGCATTGCACTGAAAGAGCTGTTTGCTGGGAAGCCGGTCCTGAAAGAGCCCTTGGGATGGGTCCTCCTGATTTGCCTGGTGATCTGCATCAGCATCCAGATTAACTACCTGAACAAGGCCTTGGACATCTTCAATACATCTGTGGTCACACCGATCTACTATGTCCTGTTTACAACAGCTGTCATGACTTGTTCCGCCATCCTCTTCAAGGAGTGGCAACACATGGTCCTACACAACATAATTGGCACTGTAAGTGGCTTTCTTACCATAGTCTCCGGCATTTTCCTTCTGCATGCATTCAGAGACATTCCCTTTCCCCCAGACCTGCTGCCCCTCTTCCTGAAGCAAGGGAGAGCAGGCCTGCGTGGTTCTTGGAGGGGAGCAGAAAAACACCAGTCATGCCTACATCAGCCTCTTCTGGGCCCAGAGGACATCCACAAGGGTTCTCAGAGTGTGGAGGAGGAGGAAGGGGAGAGTGTATGATTCCTCCTGAAGCTGCTGCCTGGAAAAGCTTTTGAACTTCTACCCAAGAGCTTTCTAGTTTCACTGTTGAGCTCCATTTAGTGAGTTTGCTAGATCAGACTCCACCAGCCACAGCTGCATTCTTGGGAATAAGTAAGGTCTGCTGCCTGTTTGTATGAGTGTTCTTCGCTTTCGCTGCTGGGGACCTGAATAGCAAGGAGAGAGATCTGATTGCAATTTCCAGATGGTGAGAAGAAAACCTCAGCAACTCAGTGTCGAGAGGACTTGAGTTCCCTTTGAAAGAACTTGCTGCAGCTACTACCAGGCCACAAACTTACGTGGGAAGAGACTCAGCAGACTAATCCTTACTGAATGGAAGGACCACTCAATGTATGTGACCTTAAAACAAACCTTTTCTAAATATTTAGATTACTGTTTACAAACCATTCCAGCCACGTGATAAAATCCTTCTATGTTGTCAGTCATTACAGCAACAAGGGGTAATGTGTACGTGGAGATGACATGCCCAGCATGTTAATTTCAAACCCTCATCTGTACCTTTGCTCTCTGTAAGAAGCCAGCTCGGCTCGCTCAGGTTACTGACCCAAAGCTAAAAGCAGGACTCAGTTTCCCCAAACTGATGACTTGTTAATGTTGGTGCTGCCAGTAAATGCTGTGGCTTTTTAGGCTGGATTACATTGGGGAGTGTGATTTCCCCAACGTGGCGCTTGTTGGATGGGAGGGATTAGAAACCTGGTTTTGGTAATCCCCTACAACATATTTGCTCGTGCCGGGAGTGCCCCATAAAGCATTCCAGCGGACAGTAGCCTAGCACACACAATGAGTACTGCTTGCCAGAGACTAACTACAGGGACAATGTGAAAGCCTGAAATCAACTGGAGAGAATGTTCAAGACTTTCTCATATGCTCACTTTTTGTGAGGACAGATGGGACTTGGCTCCTGGTTTTAGTGCCTGATGGATGAGTACATGCTGTTCTCTCCTCTTTACTTTTGATAGAAATCCCACTGTTCCTCTAAGGGTGTCTGCCCTGCATAGGAAAAACCAGTGGTGCTGAGTCTCAGAGCAGTACAGATGTTCCTGCTTGGGCTAGAGCAGCGGCTGTGAAACCTGGCAGGAGGAGGGGAGTCTTAGAGCCCAGGTGGCAATGCCCATAAAGCTATTTTTACCCCAAGAGCCTAGGCCAGACATGAGCAATCTTCCAGAAGTGACGTGCCGAGATTGAACTTCCTCCTATTTACGGGTCTGTGGACTGTTGATCCTTTTTAAAGTCAATAATAGTCTTTCCCCCACCTACCCCTGTGCAGTCTGCTCCCCCCAGCCCAGGTTGGGGTTTGGACAAAATCCTGCTTCTCAAAGTGGCAGGCACCAGCTGTCTGTCCTGTACTAAAGCCCAGCAAAAGGTCCTGTACAAATTATCCACACCTCCCCCACTTCACAGCACAAACTGCTCCTCCCCACCTCACCCCAATGCCAGCATCCACCCATCCCTTCTATCCCCCACCTACCCTATGCAGCCATCCGCTTCCCAGGAGACTTGAGAGTGCTGAGTTTCTGCCTCTTTCTCCCATGCATAAGGGATTCTCCAAACCATCCTTCCCTCTGATTCTCCCTCCCAGTTACCCACTCCCTCACTCCTCCTCCCCACCTAGCCACGTATTCTCTCCTTATCTTGTTTTTTATTACCTGTTCTTGGAGCAACTCTGATTAGCTGCTTGCTCAGCAAGATGTCCCCCCCCTCCTTCCCTCACCAATCAGCTGAGCTCTCTGCCTGCTGGGAGCTTTGAACTTGAGTGGAGCTCATAAAACAGTTGTGCAGTTGCACAGCTTAGAGGGAACTATGGTCCCCTGCCACTGGCCCCCTCAGCCTGCCACCTCTCCCCGCTGCCTGCTATGGTGACACAGCTGCCCTGGCCCTGCTGCCATAACTGCTGCTGCAGCCAGCATGCAGCCCCGGCTCCGCTGCCACAGCCCCAGATGGGTTTCCCCTGCAGGGCTGCTGCAGCCAGGCTGCCATGGCTGTCCTCGCTGCTGAGCTAGCATGCAGCGCAATCTACTACTGAGCCAGCACACAGGCTGCCCGACCCCAGCTAGGTTGCTGGGTTACCCCTGCCCTATTGGAGAAGGGGGAAGAGCACCGGCGGTTGGTGCACAGCCCAATCTGCAGCCTCCTTGCCTGCCTCCCAGAGCTGGTGCTGCAGTTGTGTGCTGGTCTCTCACAGAGCCCAATCTGCAGCCTCCTCGCCCGCCCCCCCAGAGCTGGTACGGCAGTTGTGTGCTGGTTGCTTGCATAGCCCATTCAGCAGCCTCCCTGCCTGTCCCCTGGAGCTGATGGTACGGCAGTGCAGGCTCCCCACTGTGCTCCCACCCCACATGTGACTTGTGCTGTGGGTTGCCAATCCAGGTGCGAGACTGTCGAGTTTTTCTTTGCAGTGTGGGTGGGCAATAAGCATGGGCTGGATACCATTCGCCAGGGTGACCAGTGGCCAATGGAGCCACTAGCTGCTGTTACCTGTGAATGCTCAGGTACATAAAGCATTTGGAAGCGCAACAGTCCTATCAAAAGTCACTGCCCAATGGTGTGAATTTACTCTCAAAAAGCAGATGGCTGTTATTTAGAGATTAGCTCTGCCCTAGGACTGGGGGACTAAGAGGGCTGAGTTTTCTCATTGGCCCACTCAGTCATTCTCTGAAGGATTCCAGTTGCAGGAGACTGCAGTGTAAATTACTCTGTTTCTATTTTTTAAAGCATTGGCTTAGAAAAATTACTCTAGACAGCTACTACAAGAGGTGGACAGTTATGGGATTTCTTCCCTTTGTGAATGATATAAACTTCCAGGGGTAAGGACTCTCATCCAATGAGGCGTACTAGAGTACTGGTTTATTAGCTTCCACCACAGAACTCAGAAGTAGTAGTCACAACCATGCTCAGAAAACAGGCTGGAACGTTAATTCAATAATTTATTTGGGGTTTCCAGGAACTAGAATAGTAGCACAAGTAAGCTTTTGAGTTGCTGTTTTTTCAGTAGCCCGTGTAAGAGGAAATGGAAGGTCTGTTTCTGAGAGAAAACATTTGGCCCAGAAACCCCAACTAGAATCACTCATCTTGTTGGTAGTTTCTAGAAAGGCACAGAGGATCATATGGACATAAAACAAATTACCTTCACATGAGAGGTAGTCTGTCTGGATAAAAGAGGGTTTCACTCAGGAAATCTACACCAGTTTGTTCTGTGAACGAAAGGGACTTGATCCCCTTTCTTACACAATATATTTACCGAGTGGTGGCCTTTTTTGTACTTTTTTTAGTTGGCAGAGGAGCTGGTCCAGTCATGGGAGCCATGAAATAGATGACTATGAGCAGCAAATTATAGTTCAGGGTGATACACAAACTCGCTAGTCAGAACAGAGCAGTTGTTTAGCTATAACAACTAGCCTATATATCCTTTTCCTGTCCAAAAATTACTGTATGGTCAACAGAATGGAGGTGGCAGGGTATGCGCAGAGACAGACTGCACATGATGGCAGAGATGACAAGAGGTGAAAGGCAGGTCTGACATCCCCCACAGCCCTCCTTCCTAAACACAAGAAGCTGATTTTAAAAATTGATCAAGTATATATTTATTCCATTGATTGGGAGGAAACAGTTTATGGAGAAAATTAAATGTTGCACTTCTCATTGAAAAGCTGTTACTTGGCCACATGACTGACTTTATCTTAAGTGAGGCTTAATCTCTTCCCATAGCAACACATCCTTGGGCAAATTCTTCTCAAAGGATGCTGGGGCAATACTGGTGCAGTCCTGCAATTCAAGCTCTGGTTCTCCCTAAGACATGCCTTAGAAGCATATGGAGGGAAATGATCAATTCAGCTACGATTTAGCTCTGAAACCAAGATTGACTAGTTTCTCTCTAAGGGGAGAATTAATTATAAAAGCTGGATGTAATTCAGGACTATTTAAGGTAGTGGTCCCCTTTCTTAAGCTTCACTTAGTGTTTCATTCCTCACCATTTCCAGCATTTGAGCACTCCCTCCTAGAAATTCTGGTGTGCTCAACCTAAGGAGTTCTGTCCATACAATCCCAGTGTAAACTTGTGCATGAAATGTACTCAGTGGGAATGAGAACAGTACACGGGCAAGTAGAGTAGTAAGTGTACATCTGTTACAGGCTCTCTTGTCTAGCTAGGATTTTCACAAGATTGGCATTTTAAATGACAAAAAATGCTGGTCTCCGCTCATTCATGTGACAGGACAATCTAGAATCTGATGCAGAGGAAGGAGCCAACCTCCCCACAGCTTGTCTTCTATAGCTGTCCCATCAGCTTCTCTCCTTTTCCTCTCTCTCCCATTTGATGTGCAATTCTCTTTATTAAGGGAACAGAGAAGTCCATGCCCTGTTCAGTCAGACAGGCTCTCTGAGAAGGGTGACTTGGCTTTCTGCGTCTGCTCCAATCGGTTCAGAATAAACTGACTGGTATCTATGAAGCGCTCAACACAGTTCACGAAACAGGTCTCTGCCCGACTGTCCAGCTTGGGCCCAGGCTTGTCCATGCATTTCTCCTGTTCAGGACATGAAAAGAACCAGTCAGAAGAAAGGTCACCCACCCAGTACGTTAACACTTCCCCAAAAGAAAGGCTCGTTATTTGGAACAACAGATCCACCATAGGCAGCAGCTTTGGCAAGGGGGAGGATCCTCCCACCTAGTGCACACCTAGCATGCTTTGACATATGCTTATAAGCCTACTTTACAGCCAAGCCTAAAGATGCTGGAACCTACTAGCCTGAGAACCAAGTCAACTAATGGTGAAAAATACCTGTGTTATCCTGCTCTACACTGTACAGTTAGGTCAACATATGGTCAATGTAGGTTGCCTAACTAAAGTCTATACTAAAACAGCTCCCACAGATGTTACTCACCCACTATAGCAACTTAACTCCACTTCCACAAGAGGGCTGGCGCTTAGGTCAATGCGGTGTCTGAAGCCTTGTCTATACTGCCACAGGTCCTGGACCTTTGACTCTGCCTACTCTTCTCCTTTTGGTGGAGTACTTCTCCTTTTGGTGAAGGGAAAGCACTTCACGGTCAATTTATCGCTACCTTTTGATCCAGCAGGTAATGAAGACATACCCTGTGTCGTTCACATGGACTGTTGCTGCCTTTCCAAAAAACCCTTCTACACCGCAGTTAAATTGGTGCAAGCGCTCCTGGCGAGGACATGCAGCTCGACACAAGAAACATCATGTGGATGTGTAAACCAATTCAGTTATAATAAGGTGGCTACGCACCTCTGGCTTAGTTCTGTAGTTGAGATTTGTCTTGAGTGAACACAGGCACATCTGTGCCCTCCCCTCTCCACTTACTCCCGCTGCCTTGTCCCACAAGGTGCACGGGAGATGGAAGCCTTTCTCCACACAAAGTTGCACCCCTGCGCTCCCTGTTTGCTAGGCAGCTTCAGCCGTTTTGTCCCTCGCTTCTACCCTCTTCTTGGCACAAGGGTCAAGCGCTACTGAAACAGCAGCAACCAGTGGTCCCCAGCGCCGGGCGAGCCCGCTACCCTGCAGCGCTCGGGGCCGTGGGGGGCTCCTCGCGCGGC